GAATGATAGAGTCATAGTCTAAAATGGCCGTGTACTAAGAAGAATTTATAATAAGGATACCAAGGTGGTCACTGGAATGGAAGGTCAGGAATGATGCTGGGCCACATGAACACCTGAGCCAAGATAAATACTGTCAGCATTGTCTTTCACTACAAATGTTTACTTGGCATACGATGACACAAATAATTATATTTTATGCACTCAGATATTTGAGATGTGGATCTATCTCCTCCCCTCTACAGGACTTGGCACACTTATAAGGGCAGCACTATCTTTGGAGGACATGGTCTTCTCCCATTTCATCCATATGGTTTTCACGGGAGGTACTATTCTAATTTAATCCAATCCTCTAGCCACACCCAGTCAAGTAATGGACACCTGACCTTAACATTCAGGGGCTTGAGATTTCTGCTTTTGTTTTGTTTTTGGTACCAGGGATCAAACTCGGGACCGTGTGCTTGTGAAGCAGGTGCCGGAACCACTGAGCTAAATCCCCTGACCTAGATTTCTACTTTTGAATAGACAGTCCTGGATGAGACATGGAAATCTGTGTTTTAATAGATCTTCAGGTGATTCTAAAGTTCAACTCTAGTATCTCTAATATTTAATATTCCAATTATTTAATGGCTGTGTCTGTTATTTCTTTAGATTATTTTAAAACTGGGATTCAACCAATACCATCAATCCATATCTTGGAGGAAGAGGGAGTAGTTGAAGCATCAATAATGGATGTCACTAGCCGGGGATTTAGCTCAGTGGTGCTGCCGCCTGCCTCACAAGCACAGGGTTCTGAGTTCGATCCCTGGTACAAAAAAAAAAAAAAAGTTAAAAAACAAAAATAAAATATATTTATAAAAAAAATAATGGATGTTACTGTAGGAAGGACTGTGAGGCAACTCATTGAAAACTTTCAGAATTAGATCTACATTCTCTTTCTGGAACCATGTGCTCCCCACCTCCAGCAGAATCCACCTAAATCATGGTGGTCATCAGTGGCTTCAGTGTTAAGAAAAAGTCACATTGTCAAGAATGAATGGGATTCCAATTTCATAAGGGGAAAAAAGAAACAGGGAAAAAAAATATCCTCAAATTTTTTTGGTTACTGAAAATTGAACTCAGTGCCTTGCACTTGCCAGGCAGGTGCTGTACCGCTGAGGTACCTCTCTGGCTCTCAAATCTTTTTTTTTTTGTACCAGGGATCAAACTCAGGACCTTGTGCTTGTGAGCCAGGTGCTGGAACCACTGAGCTAAATCCCCAGCCCTTGGCCCTCAAATCTTAAGAGGTTGATCACTTGCAGAGTTAAGTGCTTTTTCTTCATAATTTACTGTCTTTCTAATTTCTACAATGTGTAATTTCTTTAAGAAAAGCCAATTAGCAACAATACAAACAGGGGCCGGGGATTTAGCTCAGTGGTTCTGCCGTCTGCCTCGCAAGCTCAAGGACCTGTGTTCAATCCCCTGTACCAAAAAAAAAAAAAACACCCAAAAAACAAAACACAATACAAACAATTTATGATGACTTATCAAGGAACATGTACACTCAAGAATTAAGATATGTACCGAGCTTTCAGAAGCAGTTTATACCTCTATGCAAAAACAAACTCAGGTCAGATCTTCAGTGAAAAATCAATTTTTCATTTTAAAAAGAAGGATTTCTGGGCCAGGGATTTAGCTCAGTGGTTTCACCGCCTGCTGTGCAAGCGCAAGGACCCGAGTTCAATCTCCGGTATCAAAAAAAAAAAAGGCTTTCTATCCTCCCACTTGGTACTTTATAATGATACTCAGTAAGTGCTTCAACAGTTATTTCTGGATTGTGGGACTGCAGGCAACCATCATTTTTCTCCTTTGTACTTCTCGTAGTATTTTCAGTTTATTTTGGAAAGCAATGAGCCTGTATTACTTTCAAAGTCATTAGAAATAAAAGATTTTTTGCATTGCTATTGTGATAAAAGCCTTTTCTCTAGTTTTGTTTTTAATTGCCAATAATTGTACATATTTATGGGGTATGTTTTGATACATGCATATATAATGATCCAATCAGGGTATTTAGCATATTCATTACTTCAAACGTTTAACATTTCTTTGTAATGAGAACATTTAAAATGACCAGAATTCAAAATAACCACTTTGGTTATTTTGACATATACAATGCATTATTGTTGATTACATTCACCCTACTGTGCAACAAAACACCAGAACTTTATTTGTTCTAATTTTCTACCAGTTGACCAACCTCTTCCCTTATTTTTAAAGACAAAATATTAAGGTGCTCTAATACAGGTGAAAAATTGGTTTCAAGCTGACATATAATTGTTTAAATGGAGTTCAGGTAAATAAGGCCAGTGAGCAAAATCTATTCCACTGTTGGGGTATCACTCGGCCCATCTAGACTTCTGTTTAGGATCAAAATACATCAGAGGTTAACTTTGGCTTCATTTTTGGGGGGCGGCTACTGGGGATGGAACTCGGGAGCTTGAGCTTGCAAGGCAGGTGGCAGAACCACTGAGCCAAATCCCTTGCCCTGGCTTCATTTTTAATCTGTTATTTCTCCTCCCAAATTAGCTTAATATTTATTCTGCTTTTGTAAGTCAAAGTAAACTTTAATGTAGTAAATATTTCCCAAGAACCTATATGGGTTTTCCTGCTGCACTGGATATATAGTAAACTCAGGTAAACTTTTCATTCATTGATTTATAAGTATACTGACATTTAATTACTATGAAATACTTTTTAAAGTTGTCAGCTGGCACAGGACAAAAATTCAAACATGAAGCTGTCATTTTTTTATGTCTCATCAGTGAGACTAATTTAACACAAGGGACAACAAATACCTTTTAATGGAACATGCAGAACTCCTTAAACAGTGTAGAATTCTTGTTTTCATCCATAAATGAAAAGATGCACATAATTCCTTAAATATTTATATTTGGTATTGATTTTTCCCTCTTGGGAACACCTACACAGTGGCTTTTTGCCAGTTTTATAAATGCTAAAGTTTTCTAAGTAGATACCAATCCATAGCAAGTGAAAAGTTCTAAGAACAAACTACATTCATAGATGAAATAGCTAGTACAGAAAGAATATATAATCCAATCTCATGAAAACTGAATTGAAAGGGCAATAGGATTTACATTTGTGTGTTTAAAAAACCAACTGAAAAATTTATGAAAACCAACTGTAGGCAACTAGTAGGAAAAAGGAATCTTACCATATCCAGAAATTAGTAAAACACTTGAAAAACCAATATAAATTTAATAGTAAACATTATGGTCAGGCTGTTTATTAAGGAGGCAACCACATATACAAGTTCAGCTATAGAAATGTTTGCAAATCAAACTTAATGTGATCTAAAAGGACCGTGTAATGTCAAAAATGAAACCTGTACAGTCAATAAAAAGTCAATTTAAACATACATAGTCTAGATCATTCTAGAATTATACAAACATCTGGGGCCACATATGTATCTACTTTTCTTTCAAAAAAGCTTTTTTTATAAAAGTGATGTGTTGAGATAATTTAAAAAAGTATCTGACAATTATGAATGGTCCCCAGTTTTACAAAATGTGATTTCCAGGCTATGAAAACTGAGAAAAGTTAACTCTTCAGAGTGTTTTATACAAATAAGTTTTGTAGAAAAATGATCCAGCAAATGCTTGAGTTAAGAATATTTATATTTTTCCAATTCTTTACACTTTTATTAACACACATACAAAAAATAACATTCAAACACTGAAAAAATTAAATAACTTTGGAAGCAGAATCTGTAGCTGTCTGCTTACATATAAGTGACAATTCTGGGCTGTTGGCACAAAATAAGCAACATTCATAAAACCTTTACTACTATATATCAAACATAAGTTAAAATCATAGGCACTAGTTTATCAAATCCACATTTCTTCTATAAGACTAACCACAGTAAATCCTTAGATTTTCCCAAACAGAAAAACTGGCAATACACAAAGGCTTTCTAGTAAAAAGGCAATTTTTCTCTTTAGGAAACTAAAAGCCAATAATCTGTGGTAGTACAAAAGCAGGAAAAATAATACTTTACCAAACTCAGATCCAAAATACATTTTTAACAAGTGATGAAGTATTTTAATTAAAAAAAATAGACAATTTTTTTCTGACGCAGCCATTTAAAAACAAAGTTAAATAACCTGAATAATCCTTTTGAAACTGATTATCTAACTTAAAAATGTAATAGATGTTCCATAACAGTTAAAATTCCCTTTAATTATTAGATTGTAGCATATATATATATATATATATATATATATATGTTGTATGGAAAACTGAGACCTGTTTTGTTCTGTGTATATGTGGTTCTAAAGAGACAGTGGCTAGTCTTTATTTTATGGACTTAAGATTTACATGAAATACTCCCCCACCAAAGCAGATGCTTTATCTTCCTCTGAAAAGCAACATTTTTTAGTTCATCATCACGTAGAATTCTGGCGCCATCCTTTCCAGTCCCACCCCATCACCTTTAAATACAATATCTCCTGCATTATTCACCAAAATACACAGTACCGGTGGTTTAAATCTACAGCCGCTTGTGTTAACTGAATGCCTCCCAACTTGTCAAGCCAATAGAGATACCCCAGTGTCAGTCATGGGATGAAGGGGTTCTTGGTTTTATCATCTCTCAGCCTATCAACCTCAATGCTGCCCTGAATACTAAGCCTTACATTTCCCTCTCAGTTTCTTTTGCCAACTTACAGAATTCTTTGATTAACGGAAAGGAACAGAAATGCTTAGATTGATAAAATCTTTTAGGTGACCCAATTACCAATATTTTAGAGCTGTCCAAACTAAGTATTTAAACACAGACCTCACAATGAAAAATGAAAAGCCTGCTACAGCAGGGAGTTTTAGTTTGGTAAAAATCTGATAAAATCAAAACAAGTGATTTCAAGGACATATATATGTGCGTGTGTGTGTGTGTGTGTGTGTGTGCGTAAAAGCCAATAAAGACCAAATATTTAGAGTTAGATGTAGTAGGTTACCAAAAACATAAAAATTGATGTAAAGCAGAATCTAAGTCAAAAGGCATAGTATTTTCAGAAGATTTCATATACTCAGTTTAAAGTGGATCAACTTAAGTGGGATTTGGCAGGCTAGATGTTTCTACCATATAATAGACATTATGCCACTTAGTAGCGACAATACAACTGTCATCACCAGAGATTTTTGTAGGTTAAGTGCATAGATTTTTGCCTCCCCTCTCTCTCACTGCATGGTTTTGTTCCCAGTTGTAAGCACTGAGGTGGTGTTGTAACAAGAGTAAAGACACTACCTGTTGTATCCTATCCTGGAAACCTGCTAATAGAAAATAGATCTCTCAATTCTGTGACAGGTAACAGTATGTGAAGAAGTTGGCTTTAACAGCAAAGGCCATCTTTCCTGAGCCAGGAACTATAAAGTTGAGAAAGATTGTACTACTGATATCAAGCCCTTTTGGCAATCAAAACAAACACAAAGAAGTCCGATGTGTCAATGCAACATGATGGATGCACACTGTAACACTATCTGGTGGTGGTGATGTGTGAGCTGTGTCCATAACGGAAGATTAAATAAAATGCTAATTTTCCCAATGAATCTGTAAAAGTAATTTATAGAATTCTCCTAAATGTAGGTATCGTGTTCTAAATCTCTAGCCCAGGCTTTTTCCTCCCATTGTCCCAAATTTAATCGATAGTTTCCTGGAACACTAGTGAAACACTTTTAGATAATTAGTCAGAATATTAGTTCTCATTAACACAGTATTTATTGATACTATTTATACAGTAAATTAGGTTGAACGTGAAGTTTTGGGTAGCCTGGATCCACCATTTCCTTGTGTACAAAGGTACTCTCTCATTTACAAGTGGGCATTTTTCTTTGGCATCCATTAGGTATTTGCCCAGATATTGGCCTCTGTCAAATATCTAAAAATCAAATGAGTTTCTATTAAACAAAAACTAAAAGTGATTCCATGGAGAGTGATTGTATGATTACCAAACATATCTGATGTTAAATGTCATTAAAGTGCTGCTTGATTATCTCTGTCGGTTTGTGCTAATTAAGACACAGAGGGTTGGGATTTTATAAATCCCAAGAGTCTCATCTGAACAGTCTGCATATATAAAAGTTGTTTTTAGCTTGGTGAAGGGATATCCATGAAGACGTGGACCTCTGCATTCTTGTCTTTGCTGGTCAATAACAGCCGTCTTTCCAACTGTCATCTTTCATGCTGCCATAGGTTTTAGGAGCTGGCAAGGATCTGAAAGAAAGTAATTTTATTATGACTTGCATATCTTTGCAAAACACTACCATATTATCTTTTATATATATTAATTATCTTTCAGGTGGCATCATGATCCTCTGAGAGCTGTTTCAGGGAACTATTGAGGCCAAAGCTCTAAACAGCTACTGGTACAGCTTCCTTCAGCATTTTCACTTCAAGCTTTGCTGTGCACCAGATGATATCTCTAACCCCTTTTTGCTGACATAGCTACTAGAATGAAATAACCAAAAAGACTGCCTCACTTTTTCTAGCCACATGGCTTCTATCATTTTGAGATGCAGAATGATGAATGTGACACTATAGCCTGTGTCACCATCTCTAGAGGCAGCATGTGATAGTAGTTAAAAGGTCTTTAAAGCCAGACACATCTGGAATTGAAAGTCTCATTAGTTGTATGGCCTTAGGCAAATTATTTAATCTCATTAAATTTTAATATCCTCCTCTAAAAAATAAGAGTACCCACTCATTGTGAAACTAAACAAAGTAAGTGTAAGTTATTTAGCACATTGCAGAGCAAAAAATCAATGTATAAATATGGAATAGTTTCATTGGTGTGAGAAACTGAAAGTGTAAATAAGGTCTAAAATGTATAATAGGTAATGTGAAATAGGAAGAAAAGGGGCAAAGGGGAAGGAAGTGGGAGGGGTAGGGGAAAAGAAAGAAGGGAATGGAATTAATATGAGAAAATGGAAAAATAGGAACAAAATCTTTGTAAATAGGGAGGAATGGAGGGGTCGAAGGGAGGGCTGGGCAAGGGTGAAAAATAAGAACCAAGAGAGACTATGTAAAGGTGCAAATTTCCAATGATGAATGTCATTATATTGTATACCTAAAATGTACCAGTGATTAGAATGAATAATCGATAATGCAAAATAGGAAGAAAAGGTCCAAAGGGGTAGGGGTAGTGGGAGGGGCAGGGGAAAGGAAAGAAGGGAAAGGAAAAATGATGAGAAATGGAAAAAATGGAAATAAAGTCTTTGTAAATAGGGAAGGGTGGAGGGGGTGAGGGAGGGCTAGGAATGGGGAAAAAATAAGAACCAAGATGCATCATGTAAAGGTACAATTCCCAATGAGAAATGTAACTGTGTTGTATACCTAAAATGTACCAATAAAAGAATTAAAATAAATAAATAAATATCACATGTAATAGCCTGCTTAGTATGTGTACAAATGGTGAATTTTCTCATATATCCATATGTATATACATGATTGCTTTGTGAATCTGTGATCACTTCATGTATGTTAATTGCCTCCCAAGTGTAGACTGTATTATTCATAAAATGGAAAAAACAAACAAACAAACAAAAATCAATGGACCCTAGTATTGAATTTGGAAATGTAAAATGTTTGTATTAGAATTAATACATACAGGTAACTCCATTTAAACACTTACAGGATAAAAGCATCTTAAAGCATATAAATATTTAAAGTTTAATTATAGTTGACACCTAAATTTGTTGATTGTTGTAACCCCATTGTTAAAAGGTAAAAATTATGGAGGAATAGTTTCCAACCTGGCTGTGATTAGAATAATTTGAAGATTAAACATAAAGGCAAAACCAAAAAACACACAGATTTTGGGCCTCATATCTTATCAACTAAGACTTCTTGGGGGTAAAATTTAGGCCTTCATGTTCACAAAAATTGCACAGGTAATTCTGGTTTTCATGGTTTCAAAACGATGTTTACAGATTCTACTTAGACTTGGCAGCTAAATATCATTCTAGATGTGTTTTTATTACCTTTAATGAATATCATTATATTAAAAATGAACAAACATCACAATCAAATTGAGTGATTCTAACAATTTTTTCTAGGAATCCTCTAAGATGCTTAAACATGTTAGGCACCTGGACAAACTTAATCTGCAACTAGCTGGTACAATGTCCAAAAGCAGGATTTCTTTCAAACAATGAAGTAACATTTTATTCAAATTACACTAAGACTCTGAGGCCAGGGATGTAGCTCACTGGCGCTGTGCCTGCCAGACAGGTGCAAGGTCCTGAGTCTGAACCCAGGTACTAAAAAAACAAAACAAAACAAATTCAACTAAGACTCTTATGGGAACCCACTATGGTTCTCTACATTCACTATTCAATGTACAGACAAGGCTAATTCCAGTGCTATGCTCAAGAATGCTGAAACAGGGCCTTTTCTCTTCCACTTACCTGCGAACCGGCTGTGCAAGTTTGCTGCGAGGCACTGGGATGCCCCCAGGAGAAGGGGCACTAGGTCTGGGCAAGCCACTTCTCATTGCAGTTGTCCCTGCAGGTCTGGTTAGAGTAGTGCTGTTGATATTGCTGGGAGGATTTGTTGGGACTGTGTTCTGAACCATGGGAGGCCCAGGAGAGGAGGTGGTTTGTGTGAACTGTGTTGTTTCTTGGCTGCCAGGAGAACCAGAGCCATGATTACTAAATGCTTTCATTGGTTGCCGAAGAGCCAAAGGAGATGGTGCTGCTGGGGTGCGGAATTTGCCTGGAGAAGGTACTGTGGAATGGCAAAGAAAAACCACCATTTTGAGAGGGAATCAAGTATAAGTAAAACCACTGCTTCATTTTACACTTCATGACTGGACACGAGTAGGCCTGAGTTCATGAAACTTGACTCGGCAGAATGTAAGGAATAAAGGACATTTCTAGGCTAACAAAAGAGAAAAGTTCTAAATAACCAAATTCTTACTCAGAGATTGCACCTATCCTTAAAAAAATGTTTTAATTAGGCTAGCCTGGAACCCACAAAACTAGAAAAGACACTACAGGATTCTGCCTCAGTGTACCAACTTGCACCACATAAGAATGTTCTAAAAGTAGGAAAAAAAATTGACTACTAGATTGTTTTCTAGAACTCCAAACACATTTCTAATCCCCAAGAAACATTAATATAAATATGTATTAAGTATCTAGTGGTTGAATCTTCCAAGTTCCTGATCATAATATAACTACAAAGTTAGAAACTAAGAGTTATTATTATTGTAAAAATATGTTCCTATAGTTGTGTACCACACAGGGAGTTTATAAATCCAGGGGCATATCAAGAGGTCTATGAAGTCACAGAATAAAAAAACAGTACATATTTCTGGAATGTAAAAAAACAAACAGTGATACCTGAAAGAATAAAACAAAATCTGCATTAACTTCTAAGCCAAAATAAGACTCTGAGATACATTTTATTATTATAACGAGTCCTCCTGCATAAGTTCAAATCTCCTGGTCTGCATACTCATCCTTCTCTGTTTATTCATGTTTAGATAAATCACCTCTGAAAGGGCACTAATTTTGTCTTACTCTAATAATACTCATGGATGGCTACACACTTTGTAAATAAAAATATCTTAACATGCTTTACTTAACAAAGACCTCTGGGGTAGGGAATAAGACAGAATGAGGAGAGGGAGACGGAAAGCGGAGAGAGGAAAAAAGGATAACTTTACTCTCACTCATCCTCCACTAGTCTGTAGAGGATATGAGTGCAGGAAAAGCCTGGGTCACAGAAATGGATTATTCTATACAAAGAATAATCTCATCTTCCTCATTTCTATCAATTCATCTTCAGGACAAAAGTGATGGCAAGGTCTACCATACCAGTGGATAAGAGGCCAAAATGATGCATAATTTTGGCCACTATTTTCATCTGGTCTCTGGGAGAAAGAAGAGAGAATGAGCCTTAGTTTTAAAACTCCAAACAAAACAAAACATCAAAAAACTCCAAAAGAGAAGAAATCATTTCATACCTCTTTTTCAATAATCTCCTGTCAGTCGGGTGATCTTGCTTGTTGTCTAATTTAAGTTCCAAGCTGCCAGCAGTATCATGCTTAATACATACTAGGGTCCATAAAAGTACTCAATGATTCTTAAACTTGATTGTACATCAGAACACCAAGGAGCTTTTCAAAAGACTGTATGTGGGAGTCTAAATACTGCCTCCAGAGAAACTAGTCTGAAATGGAGCTTAGACATGTACTTATTTAAAAACTATCACAAGATCTTCTAGCCAAAATAAGGAAAATGGGAAGAGGGACTTACTCTCCTGCTAACAATACCTACAAAACTGGACAAAATATATAATAAAACACTTTTTAAATGCTGGACAAGAGGGAATACAGGACTGTAGCCTCTATAATCTACTGGGCTGTTTTGTCTCGAGATACTTTCCGGACTGCAGATCAAGAGGGATCTCCTAAGTAGATCAAAGTTATCTTGCTGAGTGGAGAAGACATAAACTAGAATTTCAGGAGCAGAGTACTTTTTAGAGCAGGGAGCAACTCAAAAGATTTCCAGAACTCAGCTTAGTGGTCTGCTTGAATCTTTGGCTGAATACTGAGTTGGGCATGCACACGGTGAAGTCCCATGACAACGGGCAAAGGAGAACTGGAACACTGCAAACAGCCACCAAAGCTCACATAAAAGTACTGGAAATCTGAGTTTCAACCAGCTAAGTAGAGTCCTTGCCAAATATCCAGGAGATACTCCAAAAGGGTCATCCTAAATAAAGGGATAAAGTAGCCCTAGAATAAAGGCCACTCTACATTTGCTCCTACAAAGCTTAAAATCAAAAACAGGAACCAGCAAACTATTGCCCATCAGCAAGCTGCCAGTTTTTGTAAATAAAGTTTTATTACAACCCAGAAACACCCATTTACTTAAATGTTTTTATTTTACTATCTAAAAGATAACAAAATCTATCACAGAGCAAAGAAAAATGTCACAATGTTCACTATCCAATAAATGCTAAATATGAAGAAGCAGGAAAACAACAACCAATACCAACAGAAAAATTAGTCAATAAAAACAAGCCAGGAAGTAGTGGGGATAACTGAATTAGCAGGCAAGGACTTTATAAGAGCTATATCCTATGTTCTAGGATATTTTAAGAAATAATATAATGAGGAATGAAGTAAAACACTTTTTAAAAAACTGAGTGGAAATTTTAAAGATGAAGAACTTAAAATATATACAAAATGCTAAATTCACAGGGTGGGAATTAAGATCAATTAGATGCTACAGAAGAAGGGACACCTGAAGGTGCCACAAGAATGCTAGAACCTAAAGGGTTGGGGATGTAGCTCAGTTGTATAAGGCCAACCTAGCATGTATGAGGCCCTGGGTTTGATCCCCAGGACCACAACAAAACAACAAACAAAAACTACACATACAAACAAAAGAATGATCTAAACTAAAGCATATAGATAGAGGGGAGGGAAGACTCATAAAACAAAAGGACAAAGCCTTAGTGACCTCTGGTCCTGCTATGTGACCTAATATGTGCAACTGAATCTCACATTTTGGGGGATACATTTGTAAGAGTGGGACAGAAAAAAAATCTGAAGGGGGCCGGGGATTTAGCTCAGTGGTTCTGGCGCCTGCCTCCCAAGCACAAGGTCCTGAGTTTGATCCCCGGTACCAAAAAAAAAAAAAAAAAAAAAAATCTGAAGGGACAATGACTTAAAAGTTTCCAATATGAACCTGGAGTCGTGACACACATCTATAATTCCAGCACTCATGAGGCTGAGGGAGGAAGATTGTCATGAGTTCAAAGCTAGCCTGGGCTCCATAGTACCCTGTTTCAAACAAACAAACAAGCAATCAAAAAAACAAAAACACTTCCAACATGATAAGCTCACATATCTAAGTAGCTCAAAAAAAATCCCACTTCAAATGGGGTCAAACAAAGCAGGAGTATCATCATCAAATTTCTCAAAGAAAATACTAAATATTTTAAATAATAAAAGATCTCCTTGAAAAAGGAATAAACATAAAGTATCATAGACTTCTCAACAGAAATGATGTAAGTCTAATGACAATGGAATAACATTAAAATACTTAATGTAGAATTTCACATTCAGAAAAATTATCTTTCAAAACTAAAGTTGTTGTCAATAGTTTTTCACCAAAGGTAAATAACATTGGAAAACATTAAAAGGACTTTTTTTAGGGCTGGGGATGTAGCTCAGTGGTGCTGCGCCTGCCTCGCAAGCACAAGGTCCTGAGTTCAATCCCCAGTACCAAAAAAAAAAAAAAGGCCTTTTTTATCACTTTGGTTTTTTTTTTTTTTTTTTTTTGCAGTGCTGGGGCTCAAACTCAGGGTCTTATGTACGCTAGGCAAATAGTCTACCACTGAGCTACATCCCGAGCCCTCCCCAAATATATATAGAGAGAGATATATATTTAAAAATACATATATTTAATATATACTTAAAATGGCAGATGGCACAAAAAATGAAGAGGAATAGAAGTATACCATTACAAGATCCTTACACTGTAAGTGAAGTGACATATATTACCTTGAGATAAACTGTAGTAAGTTGAATATGTACACCTTCAAACAAGCACTTAATCCCACAGTGAAGATAAAATGGAATACTAAAAAGTGCTAAATTAATAAAAAAGAAAAGATCAAAAGTCTGAATGGATTAATAGAAAACAAATGGTGAGATGGTGGATTTTATTTTTTCTTTTTTTCTTTCTTTTTTGAGGTACCAGGGATCAAACTCAGGACTTTGTGCTTGTGAGGCAGGCACGGTGCCACTGAGCTAAATCCCCAGCCCTGACATGGTGAATTTTAAACTAATCATATTGGCAACTGTATCAAATATGGGTAACCAATATAAAAGGCAGAGATTGTCAGTCTGGACATAAAAGCAAGACAACTATGTGCTATATTAAACATTTTAGATATAAAGACACAGGTTAAAAGTGAAAGGATGGAAAAAGATATACAATGCAAATACTGGCCATGAAAAAGACAGATTGTCTGTAGTTATCAGAAATAATATTACTACCAAGGATAGAGTTCATAATGCTAAAGGAGTCAACTCAGCACGAGAACATATCAATACTAAATATGTACATCTCCCAAACAGATACCTAAAATATATGAAGCAAATTGAAATTAATGAAAGAAGGGGGCATGGATAAAATTGGGAGTTGAGTAATTCAACATCCCTGTCTCAGAAATTGATAAAACAAATACGTAGAAAGTCAGAAAGGAAATAGGCATCAATCAAGTTGCCCCAACTGACATTTATAGAACACTTTACCCAATAATATATATGCTTTTCAAGAATATGTGGAACATTCAGTATACTAGACCATAAATGCTGGCCAATAAAATAAAACAGGCTTGGAAGGCTCAAATATAATATGGTTTCTGATTGCAACACAGTAACTTAAAGAAGTCAATTAATAAAACATATTTAGAAAACTATCTAAATATTTGGCTATTGAAAAATGTTCCTTTAAATGATGTACAGGTTATGCAGAAATCAAGGAAATTAGAAAATACTTTGAAAAAACATCAAAACAGGTGATGGGTCAAAGGCAATCCTTAAACAAAATGTATGGCATTTATTTATTTATTTATAAGACAGGGCCTCACTAGGCCAGGGTTCACCCTGGTCTTGAACTTACTATGTAGCCCAGGCTGGCCTTGAACTCATGGCAATCCTCCTGCCTCAGCCTCCCAAGTGCTGAGATTACAGGCATGTGCCA